GTTTAGCTTTTATACATGTATGTTTAGGTGCATCTACATATATATGTAACTGTATTTAAGCACACCTGTTCCTGTGTTTGGTTTCGCATACAGCAACCCAACATTCGGTAACCATGGCAACGGCGGAAGTGTTGGGCCTAGCAGTTACTTTGTGCTCAGTCAATCAGGCCAAGGAATCGCCGTGCGGCACGCGAAGATGGGTACGTATTCGAGTTTGTACAGAGTCTGCGCACGTAAATCCGCATGCAATCCGCTACCTTACTGGCTGCTTTCAGTGCACTATATCTGATCTATGTTGTTAATGCCGAATGATCTTCTATTTATAGAATATACGTCTACGGAAATCCGGAATGCGATCTGATTGGAGTAGCATAAACGGTTCAGCATATATATACAGTAATATCAAACCTTATATAGGATAATTGATATCATACTATTAGTTGTGTACTTAACGAGGCGCTTAGCCTACACACTCTTTATTTGAGCCCATTCTTCAGTCACACCCACAGACACACACCCCTTCATGTGGTATGTACACACTCTTTATTTGAGCCCATTCTTCAGTCACACCCACAGACACACACGTCTTTATGTTGTATGTACACACTCCTTATTTGAGCCCATTCTTCAGTCACACCCACAGACACACACGTCTTCATGTTGTATGTTTTGTGTCTAACTGACATTTTAGGGGCTGCCAGTAGAATGGAAAGGGACAGAGATTCGAATACAGCCGCACGTGCGAGCGGCACACATCCCTGCCCAAATGATCTCAAAACCCAGAAAGGGGAGAAGAGGACACCGGTCCAGTACGGCGAGAACAGGACAGGGCCACAGGGGACAGAATGCGACCGAGGCGTCACAGTGAGTGGATGGATCCGTATAGAGTACTTGCAAGAGGCGAATGAGCTGCGTAATGCCACAGATATGAGCGGCGGGGACAACAGAAACGCCACAGATATGAGTCATACGAATACAGGGATTGCCACAGATACCGATAAGTCGAATGTGAAGCCCGGTGTCCGGATGGAGCCTTCAGGGATTAGTTGTAGTAGCACCAATCAGGTGCAGACGGGATTGTGTTTGTTCGTGGTGCAAGGCTGCTACAAAAACGAGAATGACCCAAAAGCTGGAACATCGGACCAGAAAACGAAGAATTTCGACCCGAAATTTGGATTTGGGTCCAGAGTTGGGTCCAATCCTGATGCTATCAAAGCTGGAGCTGGGGGTATAACAAATACGAAGCGATCACGAGCGACAAAACGCACAGGTAGGTCTTTTATCATATCATCACCGCCATATAGACGTATACTATTGGATATGAATATACATCATTGTATGCATACACAAGTGATATGTATATACATAAATAGATATTCATGAG